CTCCACTGCTGCCAGGCTATAAACTTCAGCATTGCACACTTCGATATTCAAGAACTCGTCAAAACATCATTTTTATTCCTTTTTGGAAAACAAACTTGAAAATATATAAAAACATGCAAATGAAGATAATCTATATAAAATAATCAAATAATGGACTTAACTAATGCAAATAAGGGTGTTTGAATATGCAATATTCGGCACTTATCAGCAAACTCGGGAATTCTGAAATTCCTTGGATATTCAATTTCATCAACAAACTTTGGGTAAGCCTTCTTATAAGCTAGCCTTCCACCCTTCCGTGCGAGGACAAACTCTTGTCGGAGAAATTTTGCAAATTGGCCTCTATCAAACATCATGGGTTATGAAGGGTTATTGTCTGGCAACCCTTGCTGTTGATTGGCCCCTTGATGCTCCCTACTTGCCATTGGCAGTGGGTTGGGATCTGGAAGGTTTTTCCTCCAATAGATTCTTCCTCCTTGATCAGGAAGTGGATCCCTTAGAAAAGGTTACCCCCAACCGCAATAGGAATGGTCATGTGTGGCCTTGTAGGTGTAGCCGCTGCTGGCTGAGTGTTTATAAATAGAACATTTTACTGTCCTTGAGGAATGTGGTATGGAAACAACTGACCAGGCTGATCATGCCAAGTTTGTTGTGGAAACACCATAGGTGGAGGGTTCTGGACTTGCTAGAGGACAGGCATGGGCACTGATTGTGGAACGAACATCAGTGCCAATGGAGAGAACAGAGGTGCTACGGGAATGTGGATCTATGCCATTGGAACAGATTGCACCTGTTGCTAGTTTTGAAAGAATGGGTATGCATGTTATTGAGAGGTACTACCTTCAATAAATGTGCTCAGCTTATTGACTTGAAAGGACGATTGTTGAGTCCCTTTAGAATTATTTGGCCTAGAGGCCAAGTTTTGATTCAAACTTCTAAAAGACCATTCTATCATAGATTTAAACCTATGAGAAATTCAGTCTACCAAATCTTCTAACTTCTGCTCTTAAGAATGAACGGCTTTGCTTGATCCTGAGCATACCTATCTTGTTGGAAAGCCATCATGCGGAAGTTCTGACATCTGCCATGTGTCCATCACATCTTGATCCATTATTAACCATTTTTTAACCCACTCCCACTATTTTAGGGCCTGATAGTGTCCCATGAATCCATTTAATGGACCATTAAATCAATCATTAACCACCTGGTAGTTCTACTTTAAGCTACGTGTCAGTCTACCATTTGTAGCTTTCCCTAACTTCTTGCCTTTGACTGCCAAATGTACCACAATTTCTTATTTTGTAACTACAAACTAACACACCTCTTCTTTTATTACAACATTGTTATTCACATATGTAAGGATATTGTTTGTGCCTACTCTCCTCCTTAATTGTGGAAACTAATTCAACCCATTAGGGTCACCATTAGTCTTGAATTTAGGACTTGTTTGGCTCACTTTATGGTTGATTATACATACCTGAATTATATAGCCAACTAGTACTATACAATTCTGCCGCATGTGAACTTCTGTATTCTTCCTAGTGTCAGCTGAAATATTGCACCTCATCTGCTGCACCACACAAGTGTTGGGCCTTTAGATACCTTCAGCAAATGCCATGTGTCACCGTATTATTGGACCATAATTTGGCCCACTTGTCTCTCTTTCATTTGTCCACATAGATGCCAAAGTGGCTACCACTTAGGCTGTCATTTTTGTGTGTCCACGCTATATTAATCAAATTCTTTCTAATCGCTTAACCAAAAACATTGATTTCTTACATCATTTCAAGGATTTGCCAAGCACAATAAGAGCACTCTGAATCTCATAATATGAAAATGAAAGTGATTCAATTTGGGCGTAGAGCAAGAATGTACACAGCAATTGGAGATTGAGGCACAAAAAAAAAAAAAATTGAAATTAAAAGAGATCGAGGCATAACAACAAATTAAAAAGATTGAGATTCAACGGGAGCAAGTCGCTTGGGAAAGAAAAATGGTATAAAAAAAAAAAAAAAAAAATTCAAATGATGCTCTAACACCGGCGATCAAAATATGAATCCAGGATCAACAAAATACCAGCGGATCAAAGTATGAATCGAGGATCAACAAAATGCAATTATGTAGTGTTTCAGACAAAAGGGCAAACTATATGTAATGTCTAATATTTTATTTATATGTGGGAAAGCATTAATGTGTTTTTTTTTTTATACTTGTAGGAAGGAATTTAATGTACTTTTTCTTTATATAGAACACCCCCTCATTCTTGGTAGTTAAAAGCAGAAAATAAGCAAATTTGAAGGAAAAACAAAAACATAATTAACAAGCTCTACAAATACAATAAATAGAATATGTGTATGTGAATATATATAAGCTAAAGTACAACATGACACTAAAGTAAAGACACCAAATGCAACAAACCCAAAAGATAACATGGGACTTTTAAGTTACTTGATCGAATGGTCAACCATTTGTGTGTGTGTGTGATATTTTTTTTTTTTTTTTTTTTTTTTTTTTTTTTTTTTTTTGATATCAATAGACTACAAAGCTACCATGGACTGGCTTAGGTGAAATCTGCAGATAAATTTGTAAGCCAACAGTCAGTGCCTATCACTTAGTTGCATATAATTTGATTCTGAAACAACTTAGACATAATAAGAACTAAAAAGATTGAACCAATTCCAAGCAAACAAATTTATATAGTGAGAACTCGAATGTTGTGTTTGGCCGCATGAAATTGGAGCCTTGGAATTAAAATTGGTGGAATTAAAAAAAAAATGTATATATTAATTGAATTTTCTGAGTTGCTTTTTTTCAATTTTATCAATTCCATGCTCACCAAACATAGCGTTAAGGGTGTGTTCGGTTGTATGGAATTGAAGCCTTGGAATTGGTAAAATTTGAAAAAAAACACCTAAGAAAATTGAACCAACATTCTTTCAAATTCCACCAATTCCATGTAACCGAACACAACCTAAAGATAATTTAACCAAATTCTAAGCAAACAAATTTACATAATGATAACTCAAAAGATGATTTAACCAATTCCAAGCAAACAAATTTACATCATGAGAACTCAAAATATAATCTAACCAATTCCAAGCAAACAAATTTACATAATGAGAACTCAAAAGAATACTGATAAAGCCCCCCTTGTAATCCCTGCATGGCTACATTAGATGAGGGACTTCCTAATACATTCAAGATGCTCTCTGATCCCAGTTTTTCATACCTTGACATAGAGATCAACGCAAAGTAAAAATAACAAAATCTATTTAACAGAACAGATGAAACTCAGTGTGTCACGCAATAGTCAAAATAATCATAAACAATCCGAACAAAAGGACATACACAAATTGCCCACATGCAGGGTAGGGGTTCACCGACCCGCCGGAAACTCGCCAGAAACTCGAACAGTCAATAAATTATATTTCAATACAAGGTCCTCCATGTGCAGTTCACTAAATTAATCAACCTAATTATGCGCTAACTTAATGTTTTTTGTTCAACAAAGAAAACTTAGCAAGAAGTCATCATTATAATAAATATTTTCTGTTCCATAAAGAAGTCAGTCAAACTAGACCTGAGCCTTCACTCATGATCCAGAATCTAGAAATTAGATAACGATTCAGAATTTCAGATATCTTAAGCTTGAACCAAGAATGAGCAAAAGATTAGTAAACATGGCAAGAAAATCAAGAGTAATCGGATTCACATTGATTACCACAAGTGAAAGGACTTGCCGCATACCCTTGACACATACCTTCTGGCAAATGTTGAGTGATAATTCCTTCAGAGCTTCTAGTATTCAGGCAAAACATTCATGAAAATCACTTTACTACCATATAATATTCATCGATAAACAAAAGGGCACTTCAAATTGAGGCAGATATTTCAGGAATCGTAGTTTGTTATGAAAAGCTAACCAGATAATCAAAGATCAAAGCTCAACTGAACCTAAAATGCATCAAAATGTACTGAATCAAAAGGGCCTAAAAGAATGCTTGCATGCATGTGAAAATCAAAAGCCGTGTCTAGGATCAACTTGTGTAAAATTATGACAAGATCAGAGTCAATCAATTCAAGCAGCACATGGGAAGCAATCTAGAGATCAATCGACCAATAATTGTAAACAGGATCGCTTTAATGGGGGTTAAGATCTGAGACTAGCACTTATCAAAAACAAAAGAGATGAGACTAGCAATTCAGTCAAGAGAAAAAGATATAGCATGGGAGACGCTCTCACAGTGTAAGCGTCCCCTCAGCCGTTGGATTGAGAAAAGCTTCTTCAACCATCTCAATCCAACAGATGACGGGGCACTTTCACTGCTAATCTTACTCTTCAACTAGTATACTAGACTAGAACACAATTGTTTTAACATTTTAAATAAACAATTAAATAAGAGATTAAACATCTTGAAGCCATAAGGTGAAAACAATATACCCATACAAATATATATATATTAAAAGTGGGAAGATTCCCTTCAATTAGATACAAACACTAAACCAATATATAAAAATCTTCCCATCTCGTGTTAACATATATCAGACAAAATACAAACCAAGGTGCCCATTTTGGCCTGAATATGGGTGCAGAAATTTAAAAATATATAATAATAATAATAAATTTTTTGGAAGAATTATTGATCAATCTTCCATATCTCCGAGTATTAGGGAAAAATGTTCTTATCTTTCAAAAAATAGAACAGCATTCTTTAAAGAGTAATGGAAGATAAAATTAAACCATAAATTCAGGGAGAAACTTCAGGCATCTAAGTTGTAAAGGTCATAGAAAAGAGAGAGAAATTTAAAATTAACTTTGCCCAGCTTTCAGCAATATTAGCTGAACTTGAATGAAATTGCTCTTACACATTGCCAAATTAAAAACCACATGCACAATATCGTGCATAAATTACAACGAAATTGATTTGAAGAATCAATCAAGAAATGTATATTGGATCTTTAGTAAGACTCAAAAGATTAAGAAGATTATCTGGATGATATTTTCATGCTTAGAGCAAATCAGGACAGCATTATTAAGAATTTACAATCTTCAAGTCATAAGCCTATTGGGTCAGTGCCGGGGAAAAAGCAGTGGGAGATAGCTCCTCACTAATAAGCTACAACAAAAATAAAATATCCACCACCTCCTCTCTTATATACCAATATTTTTGTTACATCTCAAACCTACCACAGTACCACCACCCCAATTTTTCTCTCGAAAACAATTAAAAATTTTGAATCTATTTCTTGGATATTCTCCAGCTTATCTCTACGTTTTCATTAAAATCATTACAATTACTAATAATACATGTTTACACATTAATCCAAAAACTAGCTACTGAAAGTGTTCTACTTAGCTGTATTGTTAGTTTACCTATGGTCTTTGTTGCTGCTGTTCTTGGTGTGGTTGTTTCTTCTGTTGCTTCTGCGTATGTTTTATCAATTGAGCATACAGGAGCTCATTCCAAGTATCAGGAAGACCAGGAAGACACCAATGACTGCAATCCTGGAATCTCAATGGCGACCGTCTCTCCTCCTCTGTTAATTTCTGTTTCCTGTAAATTGATGGGTGTGCATCCTTGCGATAATCAGTCATTCTCGTAATGTTCAGGTAGAGAACTGGTGTCTGCATGCCTTTCATCACCCGCTCTAACGTTCTCATTTTCGGAGGATATTTTGCAAGATAAGTCTCATTTTTTATTGGCTCTGTCTCACTGTCACATTGCCCACCAGAATTCCAGCGTCCACCTCTGTAAATTGGAGATTTTGAAAGTTATAGAAAAAGGCAATTGTTTTTCAACTTTTATGCAACAAAGCTTCAGTTGACATGGAGTCCTAAGATTTATGAAACTTTGTTTCATTTGAATTACCTAAAATGAGAGACAGAGTAGCCCCTAAAGAACACCAGGGTCTTTACAGGATTTATATTGGCATCAATCCATCTTGCCCATGTTGTCAAAGCTTTCCGGAATGCCTCGACGACATTCAATTCACCATAAATATGGGAACCTTCTTGATAGTAACCCTTCCTACAATATATAATTAGCTTTATATGGGGAATCAAATTGGAAAATACTTGTATCAATGCAATCAAAGAGGCAGAATTATACCCTCTGGAAGTTTTCTCATGAGTCCACCAATGGCCAGTGTTAAAGACAAGGATATCTGCACTTTTGTATCGGTCAGATGACCTTTCAACCATATCAAGACGAAGCGTTTCCTTCTTCGATCCATTCGTGTCTGGCATTTCCCATTCTTGAACCAAAAATGGAGATCGAAAGAACTCAACTGAACAGTTGTAATCCTATTCAAATATCCATTTCAAAATTAGAAATGGATGTTTGTTATTTTGTTTAACAAAAGAAATCAAACTAATACAAAGTCTAAACTACTGTTTGGCTGGTGCATCTTTACTTTTAAATCTCAAGAGTTAAAATCAATACAATATTTGCTTTCAAAAACTAGATGAGTACTTCCACTTGTAAACTAAAAGATGACTGAAATAATGAAAACTAGAGGACGAAAAACCAAAACATACCTTAAATATAAAAGAGTATGAACCCTCAGTTCGAAATTCGCGTCTACCAGAGGCTTCAAAAACTTTGCTCTTATCTTCCACTGAATTTCTAAGTATACAAACCATTGATTCCCACATATTCCTATTCAGAGAATCACCCACATAAACTAACCGCTTTCCTCTCAATAGTTCCAGCATATCTTTGCCATTCAACCTACGAAACAAATTAAACTAAACCAAACTCAATTAAACAGAACCCACAAACTCAGACTAACAAATAAGTATAAACCAAACATACATGTAGGATACACCAAAAACCCAAATTGAAAAAATAATAATACTAATCTTGCAACATGCCTTGAAATGATACCTAACAAATATAAAACAGACATGTATATACACATTACCCAAGATGAAATAATACTAATTTTGCAACTCTCTTGGAATGCTGCCTAACAAATACATAAATCAGACACATATAAATATTAAAACTTGCTACATACCTTGGAATTCTGCAACCATTGGGTTGCCACCTGAACTTCTCATAACCATTATCACCCCTGCCATTGAGAAAACAATTGAATGGCTCATCAATGTGAGGACATGAGCCAGGCTTATATAGCGGATATGAATCATCCTTCACCCATTTCCCATTGAAAATATTACAATCACTCAACATATCCAACCAAGTCTCTGTTCTTTGTGTCACCATCAAAGACCCACTTGTTAAATTACTCTCTTTCTTCAACAAAACAGTATGATTCATCGTCGTGTTCTTCTCTATAACCCCTTTTAAGCTATCATTGTTCACATTTTGCAATGAGGAATTTAGTACCAAATGCTTATCCACATCCCCTTTTATACTAGCATTCGGTACCCTACTTGGCGAACTCTCATTGCCATGAAACTTAATAGAATCACCAATTGCCTTAGTTTCAGAACTTGGGTTTTCATAATGGGCTTCAGATGATGAATTACTACTGCCTTCAGATGGAGTGGGAATTTTCCCGGAAAACCCGTGATTTTCCTGGGAAAATTGGGAAGGGGAGATCTGGGATCTGGAAATAGAAGAGTTGTGAGAGGAGGTGTTGGTGGGGAAGAGGTGAGAGAAAATGGTGGTGAACTGAGATTTGTTCTTGAAGATGTTGGTGAACCATATGGAAGAGGAGGAGGTTGAAGGGGTGGTGAAGAAGAAGAAGATGGTGCAAGCGACGAATGCGAAGGTGAATGCGTAAGCAATGGCCATGAACCTCTGGGTTCCGAATGGAGGAGGAGAAGAAGATAGTGAGCTCTTCTTGTGGTCCCGTACTGTGTTAGTTTTTGTTGGAGAGTGCTTTGTTGTTGTTGATGTGGGTGAATCTGCCATGGTTGGAGTTGAGAGTTACTGAGATGTGAGAGGAAGAAAGAACCCTAGAGAGAGGAGAAGAGAGCAGAGGAAGTACCAGTTTTCGGGTCACGGGCACATGAGAAGGAGAGAAAGGAATAAAAAGAAAGGTAAATTACACTGCCTTCCCTAAGGTTTAGGCAATTTACATACACTAAAGCGTTTAACTTTTTCTTTTTCTTTTTCTTTTTCTTTTTTTGCTTTTTTTTTTTTGTTTTTTTTTTTTTTTAAGGATGGTAAGCGGTTGACTTTTATTATTTTAAGGGATTATTACTAATATATGGGTTTAAGGCCCAAATGTTACTCTAAAATAAAAACAAAGTCTTGATTTTCACTAAAATGATTGACCTTAGAGAATATTTCTATAAAATGGATTTCATTTTATGTTTTATACCACAAAAGAACTTATATTACTAAAATGACCCAAAGTAATGTTTTATTATAACAAAAAGCCTTAGATCATGAAATAAAATTATAGTAAGGTCTTTGAACAAAATATTAAATATATATTTTTTTCTTTTTAATTTTCTCACGGTAAAATAAAATTATACAGTAGTTTAATAAAGACTTATAGACTTCTTTAGACAAAAGATCGCATATATAAATTAAATTTACGAAACAGTATAGGCTCTAATACCAAAATTGAGTTGGATCCGACCGAAGATAGAAGCATGCAAAATAACATAAAATCAATTTAACAATTAGATCACAGAAATGACTGCCGAACCTGATATCGCTCTGATAACGTCTTGTAGAAACGCCTGAATACCGGCAAAGAACGGGCCAACAAGCCAACAGTTTGAGTCAACTCACAGAAGAAATTGCTAAATTAATACTAAGGCTGTTTGTACTGGTTGGATTCAAGAAAATTCTAGGATCTACACTGTCTGGCTAAATAATATCTATATATTGGATCTATTTGTCGACAGAAGTCTTTTGCCCGAAGGTACTGAAAATACTAAATAAGGGAAAAAAATTCGTTGAAAAAAAGCAAACTGGATAATTTATTTCATGGAAAATATATACATGGATACACACTGTTTATACATGGATACACTCTCACACTATATGTTACAAAGGAAATATACTGAAGGAAGTCACAAAAGAAAACACACTGAAAAACTGAAGGCTATGATGCTTGATGGTTAAAGACTTGATGGCTCTAAAACTCGATGATCTTCATTTGAGCAGAGAGGCTCCTTTTATAGCAGAAGAGAGGGATGAATCGGCGATTGAGATTGAAGATGCTGCATGGATGGTGGAGATTCAAGATGCTTTAGAGATAAGATGACATAAATTATTGTTGAACTGTTGATGTCTTCTTCTGGAGAATTATATCTACTTTTGCTGTTGAGAATCTGCTTTCGGTGGATCTGCTTTTGACTGTACACTGTTGAGAATCTACTTTTCTTGAATGCTGAAGCTTCTTTTTACTGTAGAGAAATTGTTTTTCACTAGAATTCTTGCATATTGGACAAATTTATGTCGGTAGTGCTATCTGTTGGACTGTCAACTCTTGCTCTGGCATACCTACGGGCCAGGTATTCATCAGTACTGTCTGGTGAGCTGGTTTTTTCATTTCTGTATGTAAGATTAAACTGTTCTAACAACATCTTTTCTTCATTTATTATTTCTTCAACTTCTGGGGATATCTCAATCTCTGGAGGAGACTTAATGACATGAGGAATTCTTGCTTTAACAAAAATTTCCATGTTGATATTATGATCATAGAGTCTGAAACCAGGATTGTAGCTTGGGTTGATTTGTTGATAGGCTTTATAGTACACCAAATGGTTGAAGGTGGCTGGTTCGATCTCATTGCGAAAGTTATTTACAAAATCAACATGTTGGGTAAGAATTTTGACTTCAGTAAGATCAGAATATATGTAAATTTGATGCTGTCCCAAAATTATAGCTCCATCATTTACCTATTCTAGGGGAGTACTATGAATTTGAAGGAGAATTGGACTTTCTGGCATAAAATTTTGGGTTAGTTTCTGTTCGAAGGCAATGGCTTAGTTTAAACGGTTGAGATAATTGCATAACGAATTTAGATATTCTAAGGGAGTATCCTTGGGTATGGTGATACTATAGATCATTTCTAGTTCTAACAGCTTACTTAAATAACAAATGGTTGTTTTGGTAGAGAAAAGGGTTTTTCTGGGTATTTAAAAAGGAATAAAGAAAATAGGGTGTACATCTAATAAGATAATGGCTATTGGTATGTCAGTGCCTGTTTGTATTAATTGTATGAAAGTATAGTTATAACGGGTGCCTTTGGGCAGACTGTTGTATCTAAGGTAATTTTGGATATCAACCAATTCCTTGAGCCCATCAGACTTAATTTCTTCAAGGATAAGATCTTTGATGTCATCTGGAAAGAGCTCAACTTGTTGTCTTAGGATTTCTCTGTATATGGGAGAAAATATGGGTAATAACTTGGCATACTTGGTTTGTACCTGCAAAAGTTGAACCTTCTGAAGATTTTCATCTTCATTAGTCCGTTGCTCAGAAATAGTTAGTTCTGTGGGATTTGCTGTCGTCTTTTGATAAGCTAAATTTAACTTTTTATAATGAGATATAAGCGTCTCATGTTCTTGTTGTAAATTCTGATACGCTTTATTAGATGATACGAAATATTCATATAAAGTGTTTAGATTTCTGACGAGGGTTCTATCGGGGTTGTTTCTAGAAAACCAAATATTATTTAAAATAAGTTTTTGGTCAGGAAAAAGATTATGTCTAGCGCGGAACTGTTGAGCTAGGTTTTGGATAATCAAAAGAGGATTAGAAGTGCTTAGTATAAGGCTATAGCTATTGTTGCTCTTGATTTCCATTCCTGCAAAAATTTAACAATCAATTAGTAAACGAGATAGAATATCTGCTAAATAATTGTCTTTTCCTTTAACATGTTCAAATATGGGCTTAAAACCTCTTCCAGTAATACAATCAATAAAGGAAATCCATCGTTTTGCAGACATCCGTTGTTGCTTTGCTTTATTTGCAAATTTTACTATGTTATCATAATCTGTTCTTATAAGAAATTCTTTATCAAGTAATATCTGAAATTTTTCAATAGAGTTGGTTATTCCTAAAATTTCTAAGTCCGTTGAGGATAAAATAGATTATGCTTTATTAAAAGTTCGACTAGCATGGCGACAAATTTGTTCTTCATCTTGAGAAGATTCTTTTGTTGGTCTTTGAAGAAGTAACCCTGCCCATCCTTGAGCTGATGCATCTGTTTGAATAATTTTATAACTTTTTTCAAGTAGGAGTTGTAAAGGTTCTAACTGAGAGACTAAAGATTTAATTTTCTTAACTAACTCTATATCTTGGGTATTGAAATACTTTTGACCATGTTTTCCTAGTTTTGAATATAAAGGTCTCACTAGTTGTCCTAATTTTGGAATAAAATTGCAACCATAGTTTAATAATCCTAAAAATGCTTGTAACAACTTGGTCTCTTCTAATTTTTCAGGAAAGTCTAAAATCTTTTTAACAATATGAGATTGTAATTCTACTTTTCCATCTTTTATGTATAAACCTAAGAATTCAATATCTTGTTTTTCTAATATCAACTTTTTACTACTTATAATGAGTCCTTGTGTTATAAACTCGTTGAATATAAGTTCAAGATATTTTCTATGCTTTTTTTTACTTTGACTAAAGACTAAGATATCATCGATGTAAACACAACAGAATTTTGAGTGTTTATTAAATATAGTATCCATTTTACGCTAAAATTCTTGTGGCGCATTTTTTAATCCAAAAGGCATAGCAAACCACTCATAATGTCCTTCAAGACATGTGAACGCTGTCCATTCAATGGATTCATCAGTCATACGAATTTGCCAAAATCCTGATTTACAGTCGAATTTAGAAAACCATTTTCTATCTTGGATTTGATTTATTAAAACATCTTTATTAGGGATTTTATAACTATCATCGTAAGTATTATCATTTAATCGTTTATAATTTATAACCATACGAGCCTTTCCTCTTTTTATTTCAGCATGGTTTCTAACCATAAAAGTTGGACTCCTATGTCTACTATTACTTTTTCTTATTACTTTTAGTAATAATAGCTCCTTAATTTGTCTTTGGAATTCCTCTTGATCGTCTAAGGTATGAGGATTATCTTGTGTCTTTATAGTTATAAAAGGATTTATTATATTTAATTTTGCTTCAATTTTATTTTTATACCAGTGTTTCTGAGGGTCTTCACCTAAGATTTCTGTGTTTTCAGCGAATCTTATAAGATTATCAATGTTTAGTTTGGGGTTTTTTAATATAGCTTTATTATTAAGGAAAATCTTTGATTTATCAAGATGACTAAGAAACATTAAGGCTTCAGATACGTCTTCTAAAAACTCGGATACATCAAATAAATTTTCCGTCGTTTCTTCTGTTATAGGTAAAGTATTAACTTATGTAATGGCTCCTTTTTCTTTTTGAGAAATATAAGGATCTCTAGATGAAATAAAAGTTCATTTATTAAAAAATTGTAAGCCGGTAGGGGTATACATAAATCCTCTGGTAAGTGAGTTTATAAAATTTAATCCTAAGATAAAATCATAGGTGCTAGGAATATTATTAACTACATAAGTCTGGGGTAAAACAAACTTTTCATTATTAATTAATATAGGAATGTTTTGAACACAATGGGTTATTGGAAGTTTTTCATTATTATACTGGCTTATGTTAACATTATAATTTAACTTTACTAAGGCTTCGTCTGGGACTAAATGTTTTTGAATTATACTTTTAGATGCTCCAGTATCAAGCATAGCTGAGGTTTGAACTAGTTTTTCTCTAAATTCTAATGTTACTGGAAATTGAATTAAACTAGATGGTTTATAAACTGAATTTATAGATTCAACTAAAATATCTTCCTGCTTATTTTTGTATTTTATATAACAATTATGACATAATAAAGTTTTACAATGATTTTCACAGTAATGACCTTTTTTAATAGATGTATTGCATTGTTTACAATTATAAGAAGAAAATTGAAAACTAACTACGTTATACTGATAAGATTGATTACTTATAGTATAAACGAAATCTTCTAGTGAATGAAGTCCTTATTCAAAGT